CCGCTAGAGTGCGCTCTGAACATTTCAATCTTCATTCTATTTTTTTATCCAAATGGGCAATCAAAAGACAGCAACTATAATCGATTAAGGCTTAATGCTGAACTGATAGATACGTTTACAAATTCTTTTGTGGTGGTTTATCAACTATTTATGAATGAAGTTTTACAGAATCAGAGCAATTTCTTTGGAAGAATAATATATAAAGAACTCCAATTATCGTAAAGTAGTAGCGTCAAAAAGCCGGCTTTTATTCACGTACGCCTGATATTTCAGATGAATTTATTTAGACCAATATTCAAACTTGGGATGAAGTTATACTGAAATTAGCCAGGTTCACGGACGGTTCTGAACATGGTTTGTGCCATAGTGAACGAAACGTGATCAGTTAACTGGAGACAAACAAACAATCTTCACATATACACGTCTTACTGTTATATCAGGCCGTGAGGGATAGACAAACGAGACGTTTTCAAAACGAATATTTCCCTGGAAGTTTGGAAGTATTTCTCCATCTTCATCTTTGTCAATTGTTGGTACCTGAAACGGGGTTTCGCATTGTAAAATTATATTTATTGTCAAAAGTGGTAAATAGAGCAGCAAATAATTTTTCACAATTAGGTTGTTTAATTTTGAAGTGTCCGTTAAACTCACTTTTCTTACTCAGTAAATATAAGGAGTAAAACACATAATATCTTTATCTGTTTAATAATCAATGATAAATTCACTAAAGGTTCGTGTGAGTGAGGTTAGTAGGCGGATAGTGGTGAAGCTATCTCCTCACCATTATCAACCAATCGCAGAGTTGTGCGGGAAGTGGAGATCCAAGATCAAACACCTAGTCACAATTACAAAACCACGAGTAGGTTTTCTTACCTATTGAATATAAATACGAAATATTCACCTCTAAAGCCCTTTTGATTTTTACGGTTGCGCAATAAGGAGAATCGATTTCACAAGTAAGGAAGCAGTTATTTTCATAAATTATTAGTAACATCATCAAATAAATTTAAATGCAGTTCAGTTCAAAAGCCCCTAGGAACATTTCCTAATTCAGCTGTTGGTAGCAATGAAAAGGGATTTTCCTGCTAACTTGAATACGGAACTTCTAGGTGGAAACGAAAAAATTGTGCGCCTTGTCGCATACGCGCCTGCTGCTTAAGTGCGTACGTTCCGCCAACCTGCGCAGCGTTAATTTGCATGATACGCAGATTTCATTGATTGATATTTATTCAAATCGATCAACCTCACACACTTGTCTATGTCAACACTGTCGACCGACACGGGTTCGATCCTAATTGGTTGTTAGTTATATTGCTGCCTTGTTGATCCTACACTTGACACGATTGGTTGTGAACGAGTCATAATAAACCTATGCTACCTTGCAAGCGATTGTTCCAATCTGCTAGCGGGATACGGGTCCAAGACTACATAGTTTGAAATACAAACGTAACACACCTCGGGAAAGAAAACTTTTACAATTTCCCACCATTGCAGATACGCTACCTAGAATGTCAAAATAAAGAGAAAACTTTAGGTTTAAGTGTCCGTAATGAATAAACTAAGAACAGGTAGGTTGCAAGATTAGATGTTACAAATCCGTCTTTTCCTGACTTTATTCTGTTTCTGGACAACTAACAATGCTGTGGACTACATAGACTCCGGGTAAACATGTAACATATCTATAACTTTGCTTTAGTGATAAACTTTCAGTCGAGAAACTTGTTAATCGCTTTTGTGGATGGCCGAAACATTTTAAAAGACTTACGCGTTCAATAATTCCATATATTGTTCTCGCTGCGGCTTTTGCTCCCATAAAGTATTGCATAGTCGGTAGTGCGTTTCCAAGAAAAATACTTCCTAGCACAATGTTCACAAATACCTGGGGGGGAGAAACATGGCAAAGAATTAAAGTCTTCCGTCAGGGAAAAGGTTGGTGCCTCCCCAGCTGCTACAACCACTCGCCAACACCAAAACATAAGAACCAAACATTAAACAATCTTCTGAAGATTTCCAAGTAAAGTTGGCTATCTTTCCCGCCCTAAGTTACTTCACTTTTTAATTTCATTTGACCAATGGTTAGGAGAAGTATAAGATTCCTTGCGTGAGATTGCTGCAGGCATAGGTAACCTTTCATGTATAAATTTCGCAAGTAGCACAAGTTAGGTTTGTATCATTGCATAACTCTTAAAATATCTGAATACAAAACAGATGATTAGAAGAGAGGTAAGCTGCTAATGCACAGTTTATTCATCCGCCTTGATTCAGAACGTTGTCGCACTGCGAATCTTTCTAAACTTTTGAACCGTGCATCTTGTTTTGTCGCATTATTTCAGTTATATATTGAAGCATAATAGCATTTACCATGATTGGTCTAAAAGCTCCTTCTGGTGCTTGGTTTCAAACGAGTGATTGTCCACAACAAAATAGCATCAGTAAAACGATTCTAAAGCTGCTTCAAAGACGTTTTTGTTTTCAATGAAATATCCCGACCATTATTCTTAGGTCTGTGAAGCAATAAACGACGTTGCATGACATTTGTCTAGTAGTTTCAACAGTTTCAACGACACTGCACCAAGTTGGATGCCCTAAAACGTTTATTTCGAAGTATGGAGCGCCGTTGAATAAACCAGAAGCAAGTGACACCGCCTCAAGAAATCTGTTTTGTCGCCATACTGTTTTAAGGTGATCAAAACAATAGGCGGATGCAGCGCAGGTTGAAACAAGCGATTTAAAGAACGTATAATTCTGCCTCCCTTATAGTACTGCACCACACAAAGCAAATGCTCATTGAATTCAAACTAGACAAAACTGATCCTTCAGTTACCTCCTCCTGTGTTTAACTATTTCAATATATTGGCCACTTCACAAGCACTGATGATGTCACCTCGGCTGGTGATGAAACGTTTGCAAACAAATTGCCAAGCTCGGCAAACAGGCGAAATGGTATTTCAATATACTTGCAGTAGCAAGTACGTCGGAAGAACTGAGAGACGATTTTCTACCAGGACAGCATAGCTTGCATTAAAGAATTTGGCGTCCAACTGGCCCAAGCTCCCGTCTAATTCAATCGCCCGACATAAACTGAATTACATTAAATATGACAAACTTAGAAACTCCTTTTATGTCTTGATCCGTCAGAAAGGTTGCTGTCTACTGTGGTTGGCTTAATCAGCTACCATTCGACATTAAAAGACCAATTTGTGTAAACAGACCGAATTCTTGGCTTGCCTCGCGCTGCCCTGGTAGGTGTCACTTCCCATATTATCCCGCTCCCCACCCTGCAGTGATTCTACTCCTTTCCCTTATGTCCAGTCTGGTTTATATTAGTGACCTGGCCTCCGTACTGATTGATTTCTCCTCCCCGTGTGTGTTTGTCTGTCCCCAAACCTGTCACTCTTTTACCCAAACGTGATCTGAATGTATGTACACACCTGATGAGATAGTTGAATTTAACACATCCTGTGATCCAGATGCTTCTTCTTGCTCTCATGAAGATGTTAAAGAGACTTTGATGCATAAAACAATTGATTATGGGATAAATAATTTGCACAGAAACATGCAAGTGCTTGGTGTAGACTGCATTCCTCTGAAATGAATAAACATTCAAATAGAAAGTAAATAGCCAATAATAAACCCTACCTAAACAACCGTTGAATGTTTAAAACAAAGTATATTGAAGGAGTATTTTTAGTTAGAAACGGTTTGCCGAAAACATTTAGTAAATTTAATCGTCTTTGGTTGCGTTTTTCCTTCAGCAGTGTTTGATTTAACTGTACTTTTGAACAATCTCGTTTTATCGTTTTACATTCTTTGTTGGATAGTCAGATTCTGATAAAATAAGCTTATGTGTACTTCAATCATGGATGAGAAATGACTGTTAACTTGTAAGTTTTGAAGCTCAGTATATCGGAATCATTGGGTCACTGTTAACTCATCACTAAACATTTTGGACTTGGATAAAGATAATTAAGTGTTATTGGTTGACAAATTTAATTAATTTGTATAAGCACAGTAGGAAAATAGTTCCGATCAACCATACTTTTACTATTCTCTTTACCATTAAAAAGTGTGCAACATTTCTAAAGAAATCACAGGAAAATGTAATTTTACGACTGTTTTTTTATTTTGCCTCTAGTAGGAAAGAAATTTGCAAAACTTGAACTTTCGTTATGATTTTTATTTTCTTTGCATTCTGATTCTGGTTGAACGCTTATTTTTCATGTTTTCTACAGAAGCAATAATAAAAATACATGGACGAGTACTGTTCCATGGTGTTCTGTATAGATTCACAAATTTCATCACTCACCAAAACCACAGACCCTGCATCGTAGTTTGCCTCGTCCATCAACTTAAAACCATACCAAAAGATCAATGCGGCAGCACAAAAGATTGAAAGACCAATGCATCCCGACACTGTTGTTGAAAAAAATTAAGAGATAAAAACCGACTGAGTTAGTTAATTGTATGAACTGCAAGTTTATGATATAACTAAGCCAGTGGTACTAGCAGTAAGATTTATTAGACTATTTAACCAATTAATTGCAGAGAGAGAATTCGGGTTATGGAATCTTCAAACTTCTTATGTAATAATAACAATTTTTTCAACGTATAAACTGCTTGCGTTTACTCGTCCAGTAACTAAGAAAATTGGCAATCAGATTGCGTAGTAAATGTTCATGTAAATTGGTTTGTTTAGCAAACTTATTATGAATTCAGTAGACCCACCTCCACCAATAGCCATAGCCTTGCGCACTCCAACTTTTTCAGCATTGTGCAGTTCTTTGGAATATCGCTCCATCTCCTTATGTTCTCCACCAAACGCCACAATGGTGCGAATAGCAGTCAAAACTTCACCTGAAATGGCACTTGCTTTTGCATACGCTTGTAACTCTTTGATTGTGAAACGCTTCATCACGAAGGCAAAAACAGTAAAGACTGCAGCAATAACGGGAAGCATGCAAGAAGCCACAAGTGACAGCTTCCAGCCAACCACATACGCAATTATTATACCCGCAATGAAGCCACAGATATTTTGAACAAATTCCCCTATTTTTGTGCCGATTCCCTGTTCAATTGTGTCAATGGAATCGGATAGTTGACTGATGAGCTCTCCAGCAGATCTTTTGTCAAACCACGGTATATCTTGTCTCAGCACAGCCTGTAAAAGAAGAAAGAAATACGCATATATGAAAGCAATTTATACTAATATTTCGGAAAACATCATTGCCGGTCACCATAAATAATTGCAGCGAATTGCCGATGGAGTTTTTCTGTAGCCGGCCGATCATTTCTATCAATTGTCATTTAAGAGAAAGAGACCTTTAATGCCACACGAAACGCTAGAAGCATTTTAGAAAAAATAAGGACTATAAGCATGATACATTGATTGGTTTGTCAATAATGTTTAGGTGTTTCAAACATTTTCTCTGTTACTAGTAGATCCTATGTCAGATTCATATGTCGGCGAATGCAACACTTCACGTAAATATATGTGAAAATCGCATCTATTATCCAGAGAATATATTGCAAAAATCCATTTAAAAGATGGTTTGAAAATAATAAATGCATTCCTGAAAGTGTTTTTAAATCAATAAAATGAAGAATCTTTGCTTTTGAGTTGACACGTACATTTTTGTCAGTGAAAGGTATACGAATTTCTCAGATCACTCAAGAGATTTCGAATTTTGTGATTCTCTAGGATGGCCATTGGGACATATTCCTGTGAAACACTATCTTTTTTGAAGTTGACAAAGTATGGGAACACAGCGTTTAATGGGCATTATTTAGTAAGATGTTCTAGTTACTAAAAATAATTTCTCTGGAATTTGTTGGCTAACTCGAAGTTTCACGGTTAGAGTCTCAACAAAACAAACCTGTTTAGCGCCATTATGTTTTATTAAAAATAATATGGATCTGAGTTATCTGCAAAAGTCATATGGCTGTTCTACTGCATAGCTAAATAGCTGAGCAAGCGCGGAAACATAAAATGTTGTTCTTCAGATTTTGCAACAAATTAGATAACCTTGAGCAAACCTTTTACCCATAAGTTTCAAACTGATGGACTTTAATGTGAGTCGTTGCACATCATGTTAAAGCAATTATGTAGTAACCTAAAACTTCGATTTTATTTGAAACTCTTTGATTTATTGGCTATTTTATTTTTCATTTTTGACGGCAATAAAAATGTCAAAAAAGCAAAACGGAAAGATCAGTTATAGATAACAGTCCCCAATTTTCAGCCGCAAAATGAACTACTGTAGTAACAAGGTATTCTCACCGTTCGTCTACGAGTCCTCTTCTATACAAAATAAGCTTCCGTTTTACCAGGTGCAATGGCCTGTTTACTGTCCACCACGGAATTATCACTTGTCATGGTGAGTCACGGTACCTCATTTCATGTGTGAACCTTTCGTCGCATGTATCTTTCTATAAACCGTTGATCACGCGTTGTCTGTCTTCTTACTCATTCAGAGCAGTAATCTCAGTGATCTTCACCGCAACCAAGAACTTTGAGGTATTTCTGGTTTAGTTATCGTAGATAGCGCAAGCTAACGAAACTATTATCTTTTCAGTTCAATAACTGTGCCTACATGTGACAGTTTTTCACGACGACACAAAAGGAGACACAACATTCAAGGAGAAAAAAACATTTTATTCTTGAAAAATACAGGTCGATCACTCAAAAGGTATTAACATAAAGTTCAATGTTCGTTTAAAATACCATTTCACTTTCCTTTTCAATATATTTGGACACACACGAGTCTATAAATTTCGGTCAGTCTGTCTACTTTTCAATTTTCAATAATTTCACCTCCAATGAACTTCTTTCACTGCGGTATTGTCATTTAACCCATAATTTTGTAATGGTTCAGCTGTATTCATAAATAAACATATTGCAAATTTGGAATTCTAACGACCGCCTTGAAGTTAGATATCTTCAAGGCTATTACTTAAATTCCAAATTCCTATCCAAATGTGAACACATATGTTATGGTATACTTATTTGGTTTCGAATGAATGCTTACGCGTTACGATATAGTCTATTCCGTGAAGATTCTCTTTAGGTGCATACAGGCATTAAGCATTTATAATGATCAAAATATAGAACAACCAGTAAAGTATTACGTTGTAGTGATAGACCAGAAGATAATAACAGACGCTTTGAATACGGTATCACAATGGGAATTTTTTCAGATGGTCATATATGATGTTACACCGAAATACATTCACAATAACCACAATTCAATTGAAATTGAAATGTAATTACCTTGAAGAATTTCAGACGTATCCGACGAACTTGCCGCTTCGAAGAAATGCTGAGCATCGCGTGTGCAGCGAAAGCCGCGACAAAAATCGCAGCTCCGAGCGAGGCGAATTGTATACACATTGGTTTCACGCTATTTGCTGTGAAAACCGGGGACATGAATTCATTAACGAGGCTTCGGAAAAAGTAAACGTTCAACGGAGTAGCCACTCCAACACCAGCGGACAGTATTATTCCGAAGACGATACATGCTATGTCTTTACCGTCAGCGTATCGGAACTATGGAGCAGTTATTAATGCTAAGGGATACTGCAAATGAGTCACTCACTAATTTCAGGAGAGACACGGAAGGATATTCACTATAAGGGCTAAATTAAGTTACTGTTATGTGGTAAGTGGTTGAGGGCTTACGCTTCCACAGCATTCCTCCTTTTGAGCTTGAGTTTTTTCATCGAAAACTAAAACGCACTTCAGTCTCCCGCTACAAACGACCTTAAATAGACTAATCGTATATTTCATAAAAATAAAACAAATTATCAAATGTATTGGAGTGTGGAAGTGATTCGCGTTTACCAGGAACGAAGTAATTGATCCCATGAACCGTGTGCTGAAAGAAGTATTTGGATACCTCTTTTAAGCGAATAACGGATGTGCGTAAATAGATTTGGCTCTAATATTTGCTTTCGGTGAAGAATATTTGAAGCGACAATATTGTAAACACCGGTGTTGACAGCTGATTTTAGTGTTCACTATCTTGAGAAATTTTACCGTTATATAACAGAATCTACATTTTTTTAATTGAAATGAGAAAAATGAATATTGTCTATGCTAAAACACTTTAATTCACTGGATTGGGAAATTATTTAGTGATGCTATGTTCACATTTTAACGTCATTCCCATGATTCATGAAAAGATCCTATTTTGTTTTATTACCCTCTGTTTCGAGATCGCATATGACTTTGAATATGGCACAATTTCCGGGAAGTTGTATCGTGCTCTTGGCTCTCTGTAGACCTTTCCGCTGCAGGTCACATTACGCTACTAACGATCGTATACGACTTCGTTTTCGATCCGTTCTCTCCTTGGGAAACGTCGCGATACGCCCGATCAATAGTGTTAGTGGACGCGTCTTTGTTCAGCTCGTCCAAGGTGCCAAATTTGTGAGCCCGATTTCGTTTAGACCGATTTCTTTCAGGACGCAACGGGCTGAAAGATTTCAAATAGTGTCCGTTTTCTGCATAACAACTTTTTCTTATTTTTTTCGTATTTGGCATATCCTAACATTGTTTATTTTCGTTTTTGGAGGGTTTTTATTATCCTTGTTATCTTTTACCGTTAAACCAAGTTCGGCCTACGAAATCTCACGTAGGCGGATATTTGCTCTTCGGAGTTACATACATCGTTAGATACTTATTTTACTCATTGTTTATTTTGCACCAGTACTCTGAGTTCCACTGTTGTTCGAGCATCCTCCTCGCAGTTTTATTATTCCTTTTGATTCACACCTGACTCATAATGTTTAATCAATTTTTCGAGGATAACGAGAACGGCGCTATCGCGGCGATAGAAGAAACGAGTGTTTTGGGCCTACAAGCTCGTATACCCTAATTTATACCTGAATACCCAGATTTGTGGCTGGGTAAGG